TGTGCTGCTACGCGGGGAAATCATGGTTCCTGCAGTGCACAGCTTTAAAGGCAAAGTCACAATTTTGCCAAAATATTGCGTCGTAAACAGCAAACCCGCCCAAAAGAGACAGAGGAATCAGCGGGTAATCACACAACATGCTATGCATTCCTAGATTTGAAAAAACCTGCAAAGAAATGGTAACGGCACATACACATTGGTGTCGGCGGCCAAAGCAAATGTTGAAACTGCGTTGAAATTACACACTGCGCAGGTGCCATTGCGCGTGAAGACAATAACTCCAACTGAATGGCGCGCTTTCCGTTCTCGAGCGTTTGACAGCTCCCACGCCCAGGTCCTCGGAGCCCAGTTCATGCGACACGCTGCCAATCAAGGCGGCCGGCGTCGTTCCTGGCAGCTGCGTCCCTCGCATTGGCAACTAATTAAATCGCCCGAGAGACGAATTGTTAGGCTAAGGCGGCGGAAATGAATCGGCGCCCATGCCGTGTCCGGAATGTCCGGGGTACCCGGCGGAGCGTCCGTAGTGTCGGGCGGGCGTCCGGGGTGTCGCGAGGAGCCTCTGGAGTGTCCAGTATCCAAGGTGTCGGGTGGTGTATTCACCTCGCGTCCGCCTGCCAGGCGGCGCGGAGGTGGACACTTGTCGGGTTTGACGGCCTAGGTCACCTGTCGGTCCAGCCCGTCTGGCGGCCCAGGCTGTCGTTGCTGGTGGAGCGGGCCGTTCCTGCATATGTCCTGTTCCTCTGCATCTGCATTGATGCACAATGCTATGCTTTTCTCATTGTTTTAAATAAAGCATAGTTCACTACACACAGCTGGGCCGGCCCCACGCGAAGTAATCTGTCAGAGGTGACCCTGGCGTGGAGCCAGGCCAGCGTTGTTCTGATTGACCCGAGCACTGCGGAGTTCAGTTGGTCTGATCAGACAAGCCAGTCTAGGAAATTTCGTGGCGTGAGGTGCTGCAGGCGTCGCCGCGAAAGGCTGATGGCGGCTCGCGCTCTCGAAGAATGCCGGGTGGGGTGCAGCGGCGGATGAGCCCGCTGACCACGCGTGTGGCAGGCAGGGTCTGAGTCAGAGCACGCTTGGACTCAAACTCGAGCTGGTGATATTTCGTAACTCAGAGCCAGGTAGAGCGGTTCATATGATAGGTGAACAGATTTGGACCAGTTCACGGCGATTAAAGAATATGGGCTAAGGTTACGACTTACCCTCCATGATATCTCACTGCGACATGAATTAAACGATTCCCGGCACTTAAGACTGGATCAAACTTTGACTTTGAATCCGTCGTCACCCATGGTGGAGCCACACTTTTCAATAGCAAATGGCGCGTTGTGCGAGAGACAGTTCTGACTTCGTTTCAGTAATGTAAGTGGGCATTGCGGCACTTACTGGCTTGCGATGGGTTGTGTAGGTTAGGTGAGGGTTTTGTTGTCGGTTCGTTACGGTCCCGTTTGGCTTCGTTTGATTAGCATGGATGACCCTAGGCTAAGTTGCACGCGATAATATATCGGTGGCCAAACTTTGCGCAGGCCTTACAAACACCCTTCCTTGCGATAGTTACTCCAGTGCTCGTTCAGCAGGACGTCAGAGACTGCCGGATTAGGTTAAGGTTTGGACCAAGGGAAAGTGTATGCTTATACACTGTTACTGTTTCATTCTTCATTTGACAATCTGACCTGCAACTTTTGCCTCATTTGATGCCGTCAGTATAACTGAACCGGAACCATGTACTGTATCGGAGGTGGGCCAGACAGTGGGGGTCAAGACACAGGACTAAAGACTAGACACAAGACACAGGACTAAAATTTGTACGCATATTTTTGGACTAAGTATTGGGCCTTTTGCAGGCCATTGCTTGTTCAACTTTTTATAGGAATGATAGAAATGTCCTTTACAATCAATTTGGCTGTAATATCACAATATTCGTATGATGTATGGAATCCTTTGTCGGGGATTTAAGGTCCCGGATAAACGGCTATGAAATTGGCTTGTGCTGTCACAGTGGGATGGTCAAACCGATTCGGGTTTGGCAATGAAATGTTGTTGAAGAAAAGCGGTGATTTTGACGGCGAGAACAGTCTCTGACATTATTCGTATAGTTATGCGTGGCAAACAGTCTGAATGCAAACCCCACATAGACAGTATGCGACATTACGACACAGTTCCATGATAAGGCGTCACGTCTAAATGTTGTACGCCGCCGTATTTGGGACACAGCCGTAAGCTGTGGTAACCTTCTCCACTAACTTTCCACTAGCTAAGTCTCCTTGGCAACCTCAAACCACCATTTCTCACAGTGGCCTCTATGCTGACTGGAAAACCGACTACAACCACCACAGCTGTATTTGAAGCCCGGAGTGCAGTGCTATTGAGCTACACTTATCTGCCTTGTCTTCCACAACACGCAAAGCATCATTCAAACATTACACTCGGCCGATGGGCTCGAGTGACCTCTACCGTGTGCCAGCGCCCCAAATCGGGTGATTGACTGACCTCGGCAGGAACGCAACATCTTGATCATGCCGTGGTCGGTCCGGTGCTCAAGCTGATGCTTTGCTGCCCGAAAAGGCGTAGGGTATTTAAGAAACTACGTCATCCAACGTCAAGCTAGGTCAAATGTGTTTATAAAATAAAGAAATTTTGAAGGAATGGCATGCAACCGATATATATATATATATATATATATATATATATATAGATGTATAGACATATAGACATATAGATGTATATAGATGTAAATAAATATATATATATATATATATATATATATATATATATATATATATATATATATATATATATATATATATATATATATATAGATGTATAGACATATAGACATATAGATGTATATAGATATAAATATATATATATATATATATATATATATATATATATATATATACACATATATATATATATATATATATACACATATATATATATATATATATATATATATATATCTATATCTATATCTATATATATAATATATATATATATATATGTATATATTCCACGCCGATGGCTCGGTTGGTTGGAGCGCACGAATTCCGGTCCATTCACACGTGGCGGGGTGAGTTCGAGTCTCTTTATATGCTTGCTATTTGTTCTTGACTGGTATAGCCCGCGGCCGGTGGCAGCGGCAGCGCTTAAATGCAGGTGACGTCAGAGGGCAGGACGGACTGTGCCGAGCATTGCGGTATGCAAAACGCTCGCATCAGACTCTGCCGTTGACCTGGATTTGAACGGTCGGATGGTTGGGGTCAGGGATCACACAACAAACAATATTTAGCGTGAACTCTGATATTAAAAACCCATCCGTTCAAAACATTCGGATTATTTTTTTCATCTTAAGAATATTCGGCTACCTTAACCGACAGTCGGTACATTCACATAAAGACTCTCCAGACCCCTTTGTTTCGTTGTCATACCGTGATCAGGTCTCGCGAAACGGGTTGGGACTAGTGCACACCAGGCTTGGCCCGCACACCCCGACCTGACGCATCACAGATTGCACGCGCCGGCGGATTCCTGCGAGAATTTGGCCGAGCGCGCAGCTGATTGTACATCATAGCTTCCACCAGGTCGTAGCTGCTTTATAAGCTTGAATTCATGTTTAGCACGCTTATCTTGTCAGAACAGCCAAGTGACGCCTGCGCTGGCGTTCAGTGACATTTCTCTGACCAATTTTGATGCCATCCAGGACAATTTTTCTCATTTTGGTATTTACTTTTCACTTTCAAACACTTTTCCTTTCTTCCGTCTGAAATTCAAGATCTAACCTCGCCCTCATTTCAACTCCATCCGGTTTTATAGACATTATTTCCCATCTGGCATGACCGCAACTTGTATAGTTTACGAGAACCGCTATTTTGTACGGTTTCATATGTGACCAGCTGAAGCGCCCATGGACAATTCGCCACATCTGGTGCGAAGAGCTTAAAACTGTCATGAGGTATTCACAACTACCGTCGCAAAGAAGTTTCCTCGGCGCTGGGAGACCAACAGTGAGGTTGGATTCATTGTGGCACTAAACAAGACGAGCAGGCAGAGAGACTGGGCAAAGCTTTTGAATCGAACACAATTGATTGCATGTTTGTACTAACGTGGCAACGAACTGCATAACATGCGTTTGCGAGGTCTATCAGTTATTTACCCTAGTCGAAGTAACATTTTTCTTGAGAGACTGTATAAGAGAGCGGAGAGCATCAATCCGTCAGCAAGATGGTTGCTCAGGTGTTTTTTTTTTTAACAGCAGCAGGTAGAGTTTCGGCCCACTTTCTGGGCCACAGATGAGAGATATCATACGTGCATCACTTCCTTGTGTAACCATGGAAGAGTAGTGTGCTGTAGACGCCGGTGGTTTGTGATTTTGGACTGAATAGTAAGCCAAAAAGTATAGGGGTAGCTGGAATCTATCTGGATTGAACAAATGAGCTCAATGTTTATGGGTTGCAGTGCAAATCTTAAATCCCGTCACATGCCGCCTAGGTTTGTCCAATGCACTGCGCACGCGTTAAACATGATCACGCCGGATCATGTTTAATTGATTAAGCAGCAACGATATTTTTCTTAACAAACGTGTCTTTTGTAGCTGGATTCACTACACCTGGCACAGCGAAAATACATGAGTCGTGAACAATCCCAAACGCTGGATTCAGGCTATCTTCGATAAGCAGACGCAATGAAGAAATGCATGTCAAAATAGCGTCATCAGTACAACTGCATGTCGCCGAAATAGTTCGTGGCTACATGCTCTGTCGTCAGTCTTTTCACGTCACCCTACATACATGCGCAAACAGGATGTCATGGCCCGCAAAGCTGCGAACTGTCCGACTAAGGTCCACGGCCGGTTATGGGGGAGCCTGGTGAAGTACGCGCTTAATCCTGACGACGGGGCGGAGGCGGCGGAGGCGCTCAAGACACCGCATGGCGCTGTAATGAGATGAGCTGGGGCACCCCTGAGGGCTGCCGGCACGACACGGCCGCCAACTTACCGTCCTTGTTAAGCTCCTTGCAGACGGGGTCAAGGCCCGACCAGCGGCCGTCTGCTTGGCAGAGGCGGGTGCCCGGACCCACCAGCCGGAACCCCTGCCGGGTCAGAGGTCAGTCAGAGGTCACTGGTGGCGGCCTGCGCTCTGTGCTGTCCTGGCAGAGGCGAGTGCCCGGGCCCGCCAGCCGGAACCACTACAGAATCAGGGGTCAGCCAAAGGTGTGTCCGGGCCCACCAGCCGGAACCCCTGCCAGGTCAGAGGTCAGTCGAAGGTCACTGGTGGCGGTCTGCGCTCCGTGTTGTCCAGGCAGAGGCGAGTGCCCGGGCCCGCCAGCTGGAACCCCTGCCGAGCCAGAGGTCAGTCGAAGGTCACTCGTGGCGACGTGTGAGAGCGAGGGGAACCGTACAGCATTGTTGTCTCATTGAGGCACCCCAGGCGAGAGGGGGAGGCAAAAGGTGGAAGTCGCGAAAATTTTGCGTGTCCAGTTTACCACTTTTAAGCCCAGCAGGGTTTACGATAAGTACCTGTGCAGGATGTGCGATAGCCAGACATTGGTCGAGTAAGAAGACCCCTGTGTTCTAGTCTATGTTCTCATTACCCGGAGGCAGTCCGAGTTCCTTTCAACACTGGATGAATCCCAGTCTATACTCAGATTGCTGAGGCATGGAGTCCAAGCCTGATCGCGGTAATTTCCCCGCATGAGTCCGAGTCTGGCTCACGTGGGACATTGAGTCCGAGTTCTAGTCGGTGTTCAACATTCCATTTCGTAGACATTATCGTTGCAGCGGCCACAATGAATCTTTTACTGAAAACTAGACTACACGGCATGCATGCAAGAAGTATTCCCACATGCATTTGGTTTGGAGCGGGACTTGTGCATGTCAGAGCGGGGTTCTGTATTCCGTGTCTGCCTTACTTGAGCCGCAGCCCACAGTGCATTTCGACTTGTCGGGCATATCTCGACGGCTCATTTTCAGAACTCGTGGTCCGTGGCCATGATTGAATGGCCGAGAGAAGATCGGAGTTGTCCAAACGTAATGCGTGTTTGATCAGTGATTGTTGACCAATGTGAAGTGAACAGAGCAGGGGAGAAGCTAAATCGAGACTGGGGGAACTGGGAGGCAAGGAAAGAGTGAGTGGTTCTAAAAATTGGCATATGCTATTGATTGGATGCTTAGATTGCTTATTGTTGTATTATTTTAGACTGGACCTTTTTGCGCTCACTTGGACTTGAGCCTGGGCCCGAGACGCAGCCAGTTACTTCCCCGTACCGTTTCGTCCCAGTCTAATAAGGATTAATCCGTGAAACCAATAGATTCATTCGAGGTCGCCGAACCGCCGTGAATCCCGACTGCATTTTGAGCCTGGTCAGATTCGCTGGATGTCTGGCGCCAGCATTGTTCGGATGGTACGATTGCATGCCAGTGTACTTCACATAGGCCTGTGGCCGTACCAGGTGATGACAGTGTCCAAGCTAATGAAATTGCACATCTGTGACAAAATAACGGTGGGTAGCCAAGCAGAGCACGCAGGAATCTTTGGATAGCGCGAGTCGATATCGACACCTCGTGCAAAACACATTCGGATTATTTAATTTTCGCCTTTCTGCATGTGTCCGCCACATGTGCACGGCATTTTCAGTATTGTCGAATATTGTGTGGATAGTGTCAACATTTTGTAGGCACGTGAAATGCAAAGCCATGAAGCTGAATATTGCTAGCAGCATCATTGACTTGAAATCCTGATGCCAGCTTGCAGTTCGCGTTGCAAAACTTTCTATTCAATAAAGAAAGCAGTAGCTTTGTTGTGTGCCTTTTTTGCCGAAAGGCCGGTAAACACAGCTATCTCATTTCCATGCAGTGCCAGCATAAGCGTCAGAGTATCAACTGGTGGGCTACAGTTGCAACGTTTATGCAAACGTAAGCATTCGTAGGCAAATGCTGGAAGGAAACAAAACGCTATCGACCGACGTTGCACGGTCCGCTGCGACGGCAGCGCACGTTGCAGTGCAAAGGTATAAATCAAGACCGCGGAAGTTCTCAAAACTTCTAACACTGCACATATAATCAGGTCAAGGTTTCAAAACATACGACATGAACATAAGACATACGAGTGTCTGAAACGGATATCCAAGCAACCAAAATGCATCGAGGTCCCCGTCATCACCAGGGAGGAGGTCATGACTTCAAAGCCCCCGCCCTTTGGCTACGCTACTACTCGGAGGTGAGTGGCATTACGAGGCGTGGCACGTGCGGTCCACGGCGTGAACAAAGGTTACGACACATGGCATGCTGTGGCAGGACATGCCGTTTTTCGGTGTGAGCTTTGTCACAGCGCTTGTGGTTTCGACGGCCAACCTGAACGCGGTAGGACTGGTTCGCCAGGGGTGTAGGGAGATCACGGGGACAGGTGTAGCGCAGGAGCACGGACGGCTCCTCTGAACTTTTCCCACGCATTGACGGAGAATGTGTTGTGCATATCATGCCCTTTCGACGGAAAACTGTGAATGCGCCCCTGCTAAAGTGTTTCCTCCGAGATATGCACGTAGGATGGCGAACGAGTAAAACGGCGCATCCTGATACAACCCTGATGTTTTCCAAACATCATACGCTGTTGAAGGCTGGCATGTCGGCATTCTATCTGGTTTTTTTTTGCATTTGCTTTTTTTGCTGCTGCTTGGCCCCTCCTAGTTTCAGCTGTTTGTGGACAAAGTATTGTTAAGAGCTGCGTAGCATTAAGAGGCGCTTCCGTCAAAACACCAGCTCTGTTAAGAGGAGCGCCCGAGAGCTAGTCTTAACAAATGCTCCAAATACACATCATGTCCTGCTGTTTAACGTTGGCCAGCTTTGTCCAAGATCATTTTTGATACGACCATTGCATCAAAAAAGGAACTGCCCTAATACAAATTCTGCGAATTTCAACAGTTATCCAGCCCTCGGCTGCTAAGAATTATTATTGATCCCAGTGATGTTTTGGCAGCATGACCAGTAACATCACCGCGAACCCGGTAGCTGCTCCCCTTCCCCTCCCCGTCCCCGGCACGCTGTCCTCCCACGTGGACCCATTTGCCCGGTCAGACTCCAGCTATTGGTGGATGTGGGCAGCCACCACGAGACTTCGCCAACGACTCCCTAGCCCACCCCAAGCTGCCCGGCGAACGCTCGGAATCTTGAGGCTGGTGATGCTTGTGCTCTGGTCCTGCGCTCGGCGCGGATTTGTGCGGATGTAGCCCAGTTATCTGCACAGGGATGCCCTAGTCCTTCCCCATCCCTGAAGAATCGCGATGGGAAATACTTACGTAACAGGTCAGAATCCCAAAACAGATGTGGATGATGTCGGTACATCTTAAGTAAGCTGTTCACCTGGAGTTATTAAACGACACCTTAATAATCCAATCTTTTCATTTCCTCCCGTCTAACGACTTACTTTGTTGCTTTATTGCATCCATGATTGCATGCAAAAAACAGGCAGTCTAAGCCACTATGCCACCAAGTGCAAGGGCGCGATCAATTTAACCCGAAGGCACAAAACATACCTGATGTCACACAGAGCCGGTGTTATCGGCCATTTTTGCCGTTCGCTGAGAGCCGAACACAAAAATTCGACGTGACGTCACGTAGATTCAGTGCCGGACGCGCAGAAAGTTTTGGGCGTGCTTGTTTAGTCTGAGACAACTGTTGCGCAGATGTTTCAAATGCTTAGAGGAGAAAGAAAATGAGCATACGCTAGGAAAGTGATGCAAACGAACTGTATGGGTCGTTTAATGTTCTGCCAGTTATGCCAGGCCAAAGCACTAATTCAAGCATTATCCTGCCACGCAACTGAAATCTCAAAATGTGGCCAAGCCGATGTCTTCCAAGAACATTGCTGCCGGCTTTGTACTTGTCGAACTACACCAAGACTGCATTACATGACCAGAAATACATTCTATGTCATCCCACACTTATCGAAAGCTCTCCATGCCCGTTGCCGTCTCCCCTCCCCACCTTCCTCTCCCTGGCCTCCCCGTCCGATCGCCGATCACCCGAGCCTGACCGAGACCCCGGCGGCCCGGGGGCACGCGCCGCCTGACACAGATCCGCCACCGCCGTGCCCTCACCGCCCCGACCTCCATTAGCCTCATGTGGGTCACAGGGAGCCGGGTGCAGCGGGAGGCGCGCAGCGGCGCCGCCGACGGGCCTCAGGACAACAGCGGGACCGGGCGGGCCGCGCCGGGGCTGGATCGCCGCAGGTGACGGCCGCACGTGAGCGCCATGGTAATGGGGCCGGCCGCTCCTCTGGGACCGCACCGGCCGGGACAAGTGAATGGCCGGGCGCCCAGGAGAGCGCTTAACTTAATGAGGATGCCGGGCCCTGGAGAGTCGGCAACAATCAGCCAGATGTTGGCTCTCGAAAACACGACGCCTGGGACAGGCCGCCGTTCTTGGCATGCATGCGTGCTAGCATGTGTTTTTTTGGTGTCCAGCCAGAGCTCACAGGCTTTGCTCTTGATAGCATAATGTCATGTTGTTGATTATGTGCCAGATCATGGGTCTCATTGCAGTTGACACGCCCTGAAAATTGAATAATGCAGCGGGTCATGGACCATGGGCCACGAGCAGGTCGATTGCTGTGTGGCCTCTCGACAGCGGCGTTACGATTCGAAACTGTGTCATCTATTTTACTCAAAATTAAGGTAGACA